ACCCCCCCCCTCCACCACCCCCTCCACCCCCCCTCCACCACCCCTCCACCCCCCCTCCACCCCCCCTCCACCAGCCTTCCACCCCCCCCACCTCCCCTCCACCACCCCCCCCTCCACCCACCCCTCCACCCCCCCCTCCACCACCCCCTCCACCCCCCCCTCCACCCACCCCTCCACCACCCCCTCCACCCACCCCTCCACCCCCCCCTCCACCCACCCCTCCACCCCCTCCACCACCCCCCCCCCTTCACCCCCCCCTCCCCCCCCCCCTTCACCCCCCCCTCCACCCCCCGTTCATTTGTGGTCGCTTCTGATAAGTTAAATACCTCAGAGGGCTTTGCCTGGGTAGGGTGGGAATGGTTTAGTTTTGTTCGCATGCGTTTGGGTGATTTGATTACCCCTGTACTTTCGTGCCTGTCAACCAGGGTTGCGATTTCCGCATGGAAAATGCGGAAGGAGGGTTCAAATTTTCCCGCAATTTTTGCTAAAGTCAACCGCAAACGGTGGAAAGACTACTCCTATGACCGCGCGCTTTTAACAACACGTTAATGCGTTCTATTGGAAAGGATACATGCAAGGCCCAGCATCACGTAGGACTTTGAGTTACTGATTGGAATGAATATATGATTTCCGCATTTCCGCACAAGAACTACATACTTTATTCAAATGCGGAGCCGTGATTACGAGCACATGTACATGATGTATCCTTTCCAATAGAACGCATTAACGTGTTGTTAAAAGCGCGCGGTCATAGGAGTTGTCTTTCCACCGTTTGCGGTTGACTTTAGCAAAAATGCGGGAAAATTTGAACCCTCCTTCCGCATTTTCCATGCGGAAATCGCAACCCTGCTGTCAACCCCTTATCAGTGTCCTACCTTATAGACTAATTCAGACCTAATTGGTCACCCCGTGCCCTTATAAATCTCAACGTTCATCCTACAGAGTCCCGTCACAAGGGAGAAACAAACAAATAGACAAACCTTTTTACAGGTAGGAACTACAGGTTCCACACTGCCCACCAGGGATTATCTGTCTGTCTGCCGTGCATACTACAATCTCCAACACGAACAGACCTATAACCCAAAACTCCTGTTATCTGCAACTTCTCTTATCTGTAGGGTTCACAAGAAATCCCCCATTATCCGCGACCCTATTGCTACGTATTTACTGTTTTCCCTCATGCAGAACGCCTTACCTATCATACACGCATCGTTCGCGGTTAAGTGGAGTTCATTGGTAAATTCGTCCAGATTTGCGTACGGTGCAATAGAGGATTTTGCTTGCAGTGCTCTCTGCTTCCCACAACGTAGCTGTCAACATGGTCGCCCATCCAAGCAAGCACTTATCCGAGATGAGATGAGATTGGGTGATTTGCCATTCCGTGTGGTTTGATCATAGGTGTTCTGTATAATCCGTGCTTATGAATACCATTCAAGAGGAGCTCATTCTGAACGCCGTCTATTTAAGCACCTCCCCATTTAACAGGGATCCAGTTCATTATTCAACAGCCCACCCTAAAGTAGTACAAACCCCTATGCTAAAGTGCAAAACCACCCCTTACCTTGGCGTTTAAGAAACCCTCATTAAGTATGATATCTCATCAAGGGGATTTCATTCCACATGTAGTGTAATAGCGCCGACTGGTGACCAGCGGCAACCGTGGTGGACAAACAGTACACACGCCGGTGAGCATATACACGGGTGTGTCGGCAGGGCGGAGGAACTGGGGCAAGGGTCAAGGAGGGCCCTATCTGGAAGCCCCTGGAACCTGCTAGTGGGTTCGAGAATGGAGGCGTGGCCAGGGCGGAGCCAGGCCGTGCTGGTAGCATAACAGGGCCAAGAGCGGGAGCTTGAGGCTGCCGGTTTTGGGGATTGGATCGTCTCGTCGTTGCTGTCTCGTCGCCGTCGCCGCTGCTGTCTTTGCTCGATATTGCGCTGCTAGATAGCCTGTTAGCTATCTCGGTCAACGCCGTTGATGTTAGATGGCTAGTGTTGTGTATAGGCTAGCGACCCAAACGATAGGCTAGTGACTAGAGTGTGCAGGCGAGATCGTGTGTTCAATAAAGATGCCTTTACAAACCTCGTCTCCGACTCACTGACACTACACATACACCAGATAAACTAACAACCATATATCAGAATCCATATTTAGACTGGAGGAATGAGCTATGAAACAATTTTTTCACAGATGTCCAGTCGGGGCAGGTCAGCAAGTTACAACAACAATACAAATGTAGTGGTCATTGTAATGTAACACGCCGTCACCACTACTGCCCTGGTGTAGCACCAGCCATGGGCCAACACGGGGCAATAGCGAGTCCGGTCTGTACCAGGCAACGCCGTTAAGCTAGGAAACCTAGAGGCCGGTTGGGAACCAGAGGTACACACCCCAGGCCCCCAGTGGGGGATGGGGGATTACGCAATAGTCCCGGTCCCTCAAGAAGGTTCTAGAGAGTAGGCGTGGCCAGGGGCGGAGTGACTCTGGCCACCGTATATAAGCCGGACCTCTGAACGGGTTTGCCAGTTGTCAAGCTGAAGACCCGAAGAGCCAGCCCAGAATAGGACCCTGGGAACCCCCGGACCCGATGTCCTTCTAAGGGCCGGGACGGCGTGGGCAAGTGGCCGGGACCTGAAGAGCATGGCTGGGTCGGGTCAGGTAGCCTCCCCTAGGTCCTCCTAGCCGGAGGGCTGAGATATAGAGTGGTCCCAGTGGTAGAGAGCACGATAGCCCGGAGGCTGTACCTCCAACGGTATCGGGTGGAAGGGGCCGTTACCCCTTTGTGTCAGAGACCCTGTATTGCTATCGTTATTGTATAAATAAACGTGTTGAATCCAAGTGAAGACTGGGTCTCTATCATTACCACTACACAAATATAAAAACGAATGATAGGACTGCCCCCCCCCCCCCCCCCCCACCTTTTAAAGTATACCCCCAGGGCGCTTATACATCTTCTCCATGTAATTAATCTATTCAAGAACTCCAATGTCTCCCATTCAATGTGCCCCTATTTGAAAGGGCCCTCATCTTTTCAGGACAACTCCGGTATGCTTTCCAACGGCAGTGGCAACGTAGCATGTCCCCCATTCGAAGACCCCCCCCCCTATTTTTACCACCCTATTTAGCACCTCCGATTAACACAGTTGGCTACGTACGGTGCGATAGAAGTTCAAGACACATAGCGCCCATGAACGACACGTATCTTGCTCTATCCCCCTTGTAAAAAAAAAAACACTCCCCACTTGTCACTCACTGAATGCCCCTTCCATCTGCCTTCTGAGCTGGTCACTTGTTATTGGTTGGCGAGGTTTATGCAACGCTGCACGCACGGCCTTTATGAACGGGAGGGCGGATGACATCGAGGTCAAATTGCACGACTGCACGGTTTTTTGTTGCCGCAACTAGCCATCGCCCCCGTGGCCATGAAGTTTGCCAAAATAACCACTCCACAATTCACTCAAAGCACGTGCTATTTCAAGGTTTCCACGGAAAGCCATTGTTGACTCAACATTTGCATAAAATGTTCTTCAGAAGCACAATTCATAAATAAAGCAGTTCCGATATGCGAATAATTTATATTTTAATACATATTGGCACTCGAAACAGAGTACACATTTGGCGCAATACATGTGTGAATATATTACGTGTTTTGTAATATAAAATGTATAACCATAAAATCAATTACCTGTCAGGGCTACAATTCAGAAACTGATTCTCTCGTGTACAGTTTGATTGTTTTTATCTTGTTGACATGAGTTTTATGTTTCCTTAGTACAGTTGTTTGCTCCATGAGCCTAAATGTAACATAATGTGCATATTATGTACACAAATATATTCTCAAGTAGAATATTAGATGCACATATCGTGTGCCTAGGAATAAACATCGATCGAGTCACATGCATAGCAAATATACCAATAAAGTGGAAATCTATTTTATACTGTGGACATCACAGGCTAATTACACAATGTTGCTCTGCTCTAGATCAGCCATCACTCTGGGTTGTTGAAAAGTACGGAGTTGGTCAGCGCGAGTTAGATTTTTTTGTTCTTCTAAATAAGAAGCCATTGAAATCTCACACAACAGTGCAACAGTTGTTCAGACTTATTGAAAAAAATTAAGTTGCCTTTTTATCCGTTACGCATTGCGGGTCCGCACCATCCCACACTGCTCTAAGACTGACATCGCAGTCAACCCGGTATATTTCATTTTCAGAGATGGAATGTAACTAAATTAAGTGCAAAACAAAGCGTAATGAATTTTGTGTACGGGCATTGCCTGAGATATTCAATTGACTAAAGTGCTTGAGAACAGTGAAATCGCTGGTGGCTGTCTCGATTCAAACCCAGGATATCTCGGTGGTGTTGGCTCATTATACTCACCTGTAATTCGGCCACCTCAGTTGCCTTAACAATATGGAATGGTTGAGACAGTAATTTGACTTCATAGGAAAGTGTTTAAGGCACAGTAAGTCGTTTTAAAAGGGGGGAAACCTCAGCTATTCCCACATCAACGATTGCGAATTTGTTCCAATGTGACAGGAGTATATGTTCATCATCTTCTTGGTTCTTTCGGTAAAGTCACGTAGAAGGGAAATAATAAAATAATAGAAATAAAACATTATAAAATACAATTCTCACGACATTTCGGCCACAACGCATTTAAGCTTAAATATACGCTGCCAAGCGTGGTGGTGTTCATTCAGACGCTCTCTTTCCGACAGACCTGTTCTTCACCTGAGGACGGCTGCTTGCGTTGTGGCCGAAACGTCGTGAGAATTGTATTTTATTATGTTTTTTTTATTTTATTTTATTATTTCCCTTCTACGTGACTTTACCGAAAGAACCAAGAAGATGAATCCCTGCAGTCACGAAAGTTTTAAATCGAAATGTTCATCATCATCCACGTTTTGTCCAATGCTGGATGAAAGCTTCCCAATGCTGGCGTCATCCCACGCGGTCCTGCGTTCCCACAATCCATCCTGCAAATAAGCCGATCTCATCACTCCATCTCCACAGCATTTTATTTGTATAGAAATCAGCAGCATACAATATTGCTAAACACATTGCGACGCTCTTTATACCTTCGTATTTACCAACTACACGCACTGTATTGTAAAAAAATATATGAAACAAATACATTGTTGGTTTTGTGTTCAAACTTCTATCTATTATATCTTTCACACCCGTGCGTGCCCACATGCATGCAAACATTGTGCAGCATTAGGTAAAAACAATGGTTGTTCATTTTTAAACGTGTCAATGTCGTGCAATACAAAAGTCTACCAGCCTAGCATTAGTACGAGCTTTGCCTGTCATTCATTTTGAGTTCCAAAGCTATTCCAGAGTCAAGTCACGAACGATACTTTGATCCGCTTGACATTACCATAACTTAACACCGACCACAAAGCCACGTCGTCCTCATGGCCCAGCTTGCCAGCAGTCAGCAAAGAGCCACATTACTGCATGTTCTCTCAACTTTACAGTGCACAGAATTCATGACGAGATGGACAGCTTAGTCCAGAGGGAAGGCAATTCCTATAGGCAGCGAGGGTTGGAGCACATGGTCAAAGCCATCAGGAGTTCATTGTCATCTGCAGCCCTTTGTGAGAAAATTGATTTGGAAATATTTGTTTTAATATAATGCAGGATATTAGAGCGTCTATTGTTCCATCTTTGACTCATCAAGGCCTCCCTCGTCCTCTCTGTCCTCCTTGGAGCTCCCGTCACTTGTTGATGAAAGGGTGATAGGTTTGATAATTCGTGACCTAAAAAGAACACTTCCTGACTGGGTCCTTTAATGTCCCCATTTATTGTTCTTTGCTCTATAGATAACCCAAATCAAAACATTTCTTCTCATCTTGTCCTAAATTAAATAAAGATGGCAACTGTTACCCCGATTCTGAAAGAAAAAAAACTCACTCTACCACAATTTAGTACATCTTCATCCCATTTCTAATTTCCCTTTCATATCTAAGATTGATTTGAAGCTTTCGCAACTGCAGGAATCCATACTCTTTGGTTCTTTCGGTAAAGTCCCGTAGGTAGAAAATAAAATAAATCACGACGTTTCAGGCGCAACACAAGCATCCATCATCAGGTGGGAAAAGCCTTTGGCTTACGTGACTTTACCGAAAGAACCAAAGAGTATATCTAAGATTCTTTGAACATTTCATGCTTATCCATTTATTTAGCCACCTTATCAAATAGAACTTTTATGATCCACTGCATTCTGGTTTACGGGCACATCATTCAACTAACACTGCTCTATTGCGTGTTCCCGAATCATCTTCTGGCTCCCTTGTTTGGTTCTCCTGGATTTATCGGCTGCCTTCGACACACTTGACCGCTTTATTCTCCTCGAGTGCCTACACAGCCGTGTGGGAGCCTCTGAAGCTTTTCTCGCTTGGTTCTCTAATCTTTATGATCAACATTGCTTTATATTTCTATAAAAGGTCCATATTCTTAACCTCTCGTGTTCTACTCTTGGTCCTCGACTTTTCCTTATCCACTTTCTCCCACTTGGAAACATCAACTCCTCTTTGCATCTGTGGCCTGGAGGAAGACGGTGGGCTGAGCCCTTCCCCTATCATCTCGTCATCGTTAAAATTAAAGGTATGTAAAGTTAATGTAATGTTTCTTTATATTTTATTATGTTATTGTATAATGTACCGTATTTTATTCGGCCTTTAGTTAATAAACGGGCAACTTAAGATATGATGAGTCTGACCGTGGCCGTGGTTCCCCTAACCCCCTTTCTCCCATAGGCCTCTGGACTTTACCAACCGCAAATTTACCAACCGCAAGGGTTTTCAGGAACCTAATCCTCGTGGTTGGCGAGGAATTACTGTAGTATGGAAAACCGGTATCCTCATCGTTAACAAAAGATACATTGACATTTCTACCACAAGCTTTATTTATTCAACTCTGACTTGATTCTTGTCAAGGAATTACAAATTTTGGATTTGGAGCTGTCTTTTACTCGCCAATCTTGCCTTTCCTGTAAATGTTCTTTCATCTTTATAGTACATCTCCAACTCACGCGGCTGCTGAAACATCCATTCATGCCTTTGTACCCTCCAGGCTGTTTTACTGCCGTTCTCTTTCATATGGTCTCCCGAATTCTCTTATTGAACAGATTAAATCAGTCTAAAATGACGAGGTCCTGAATTCCCTTCATTGGCTCCCCATCTGTTTTTTTTTTTTAAATAAAGTTACAACGTACAACGCACCCGTTAGAACGCAGTCTGTGCGGTCGATGACGAACTACTTTCTTAAACTGCGCAGCTGAGCAGACTGATTCCGTACGTGGAATGAGACAGTAACACGGCGGTGGCGGCGTACGCTCCGTTATTTGTCCCACCATCTCACTGTGTGCGTTCAGTCGTACATCGAATCTCGGCAAACCTTATCGTTACAATATTTATGGGTAGATTGTTTTGGTGAAACGCATTTTTCACTTAACACGTCACTTTTCAGGAACGCATCTACCGCGTAAGCCGAGGACGTACTGTACTGCACTGTGAGATGTAATTTTGTATGAGCAATGCTATATAAAAATGTATTATTGTTCTTATTAAGTCTTGGTTGAACTCTCCTCCACATACATTTGCATCTGCAGCCACACAAACAAACAAAAATTCCACAATGTTAAAATCCAAACATGCATTATCTAAGATATGTGTTACTTTGTTACCTTGCCTCATTACTTACTCATCCATAATGCACCTGAACTCATCATATCTCGAAAGCTACGCATTGTTCAGCCTGGATAAGTGCTTTGGTTGAGTGACCACCATGCATGGCGGTTGTTATAGGCCATAACAATTTTGGGTTGCATGTTAGACAACAGAGATCAGTGTAGCAATGTTGTCCTGTACTTGTATGCTCCCACCTTGACAAAACCGCAAGGACTTGTGTGACTTATAGTCAAATAGCCCCGATGATTCTAGAATTGAAGTTTTCGTGACTGCAAGGATCCATACTCTTTGTTTTTTTCAGTAAAGTCATGTAGATAAAAAACAAAATAAAATAAATTAAAATGAAAAAAACTAAATTAAAACAAATCACGACGTTTCGAAGGCAACACAAGCCTCCATCATCAGGTGGCTGCTCCAGCAAAATTACTCTAGCGTATGAAGAGAGCTATTTCTGAGACGCATGTTTATAAACATTTATATTTTATTTAGTTTTTTACCTACGTGACTTTACCGAAAAAACCGAAGAGTATAGCTCCTATGACTTGCATGGTGTGGCAAGGCCCTCATCATCCAGCAGTGGATTGACAAAAAAGACCGTGCACGTGTTATCTTTGCTCTTAGATGCGAGATGAACGTTGCTGAATCATAACACAAAATGCAATAACTTAATTAAAATGTAAATGGTCAAATGCCATTGTTTCCCAAAGCATGCGTAGTAAGTGGTCGTTTATTTGCAGGAATGCAATGCATGCGTGGAGCAGTTATTTAGTGCTTCAGGGTGCTTATGTATTAATGAACTGTGGCAACCTACTTGAAAACTCCACTCTGAATCAAATATTTCTCAGTGCAAAGAGTTTGGTGGTTTCAGCCACAGAACATAGCGCACCATCACATATCCAACTCACTGGGGTCCGAGATAAAAGCGGATATATGAAACGGCGAGAGAAGAAAATTACATTTACACCACGCACATATAGATTATTGGACAAAAACAAATCAAAAACGGTTTAAAAACAATATAACTTATAACTAAGTGATTACAGATAAATTACTACAGTAAAACCTTGGATTGCGAGTAACTTGGTCTGCGAGTGTTTTGCAAGACGAGCAAATTTTTTTAATAAATATTAATTTGATAAACGAGCGAGGTCTTGCAATACGAGTAGTACGTGTATACGCTTTGTCTGCCGAGCGTCACGTGATTACAATTGATATATGAGTGCTTTGGATTACAAACACGTTTCCGGAACGAATTATGCTCGCAATCCAAAGTTTTACTGTATAGAGTTATGTACATTACCATGTGGTTTACAGTATAATTCAAGAAGCTTTCTAAAAGCAACACTTCTAATAGAAATTTAAAACTGAGAATAATAAATGGGCAACAGCTTACATTTAATTACTTTATAACTCTGAAAAAAAGTCCGTAATGGGTTTCTGCGTAAAGGATATTTGTTGCGCAGCCAAGTAAAAAAATAAACAGACACTGTCATTTTCCGGGACTGGTTGGTGGGCGGTTAACTCTTTCCCAGTTTTTCTTCTGATTTCATTCCAATGACGTACAGTGAGGGAAAAAAGTATTTGATCCCCTGTTGATTTTGTACGTTTGCCCACTGACAAAGAAATGATCAGTCTATAATTTTAATGGTAGGTTTATTTGAACAGTGAGAGACAGAATAACAACAACAAAATCCAGAAAAACGCATGTCAAAAATGTTATAAATTGATTTGCATTTTAATGAGGGAAATAAGTATTTGACCCCTCTGCAAAACATGACTTAGTACTTGGTGGCAAAACCCTTGTTGGCAATCACAGAGGTCAGACGTTTCTTGTAGTTGGCCACCAGGTTTTCACACATCTCAGGAGGGATTTTGTCCCACTCCTCTTTGCAGATCTTCTCCAAGTCATTAAGGTTTCGAGGCTGATGTTTGGCAACTCGAACCTTCAGCTCCCTCCACAGATTTTCTATGGGATTAAGGTCTGGAGACTGGCTAGGCCACTCCAGGACCTTAATGTGCTTCTTCTTGAGCCACTCCTTTGTTGCCTTGGCCGTGTGTTTTGGGTCATTGTCATGCTGGAATACCCATCCACGACCAATTTTCAATGCCCTGGCTGAGGGAAGGAGGTTCTCACCCAAGATTTGACGGTACATGGCCCCATCCATCGTCCCTTTGATGCGGTAAAGTTGTCCTGTCCCCTTAGCAGAAAAACACCCCCAAAGCATGTTTCCACCTCCATGTTTGACGGTGGGGATGGTGTTCTTGGGGTCATAGGCAGCATTCCTCCTCCTCATCCAAACACGGCGAGTTGAGTTGATGCAAAAGAGCTCCATTTTGGTCTCATCTGACCACAACACTTTCACCCAGTTGTCCTCTGAATCATTCAGATGTTCATTGGCAAACTTCAGACGGGCATGTATATGTGCTTTCTTGAGCAGGGGGACCTTGCGGGCGCTGCAGGATTTCAGTCCTTCACGGCGTAGTGTGTTACCAACTGTTTTCTTGGTGACTATGGTCCCAGCTGCCTTGAGATCATTGACAAGATCCTCCCGTGTAGTTCTGGGCTGATTCCTCACCGTTCTCATGATCATTGCAACTCCACGAGGTGAGATCTTGCATGGAGCCCCAGGCCGAGGAAGATTGATAGTTCTTTTGTGTTTCTTCCATTTGCAAATAATCGCACCAACTGTTGTTACCTTCTCACCAAGCTGCTTGGCGATGGTCTTGTCGCCCATTCAAGCCTTGTGTAGGTCTACAATCTTGTCCCTGACATCCTTGGAGAGCTCTTTGGTCTTGGCCATGGTGGACAGTTTGGAATCTGATTGATTGCTTCTGTGAACAGGTGTCTTTTATACAGGTAACAAGCTGCGATTAGGAGCACTCCCTTTAAGAGTATGCTCCTAATCTCAGCTCGTTACCTGTATAAAAGACACTTGGGAGCCAGAAATCTTTCTGATTGAGAGGGGGTCAAATACTTATTTCCCTCATTAAAATGCCAATCAATTTATAACATTTTTGACATGCGTTTTTTCTGGATTTTGTTGTTATTCTGTCTCTCACTGTTCAAATAAACCTACCATTAAAATTATAGACTGATCATTTCTTTGTCAGTGGGCAAACGTACAAAATCAGCAGGGGATCAAATACTTTTTTCCCTCACTGTACATGTACGTTATCCATCAGTGTACGTCATTGCAAACGAATCAGAAGAAAAACAAATACAATACATGTATCGGTGCGTTTTCCACCCCAAAGACGTACCAAGGCTCCCACAAGGCCATGCCAGCTATCATAGAGTCATGTCGCTACGGATCTTTGCGGAGAGTACAAAAACAATGGCGCTGTGCCTCTAAATGCTTGCACGTTCCTAGATTCAGTGGTGAACAGGGCACCAACCCTGCAACTTGCAGACGTCTTGGAACGGGAAAGGGTGAATTGGTCAGTGCGAACCTGACGGTCAAATAAGCAATGTACTAAAAGCACACAAATTTTATGATTAAAACAAATTAGAATTTCACTCAAAGCAGCCATACAAAATTGACCGGTTACGAACATTAACACTCGCACACATCATCATAGCTAAAGAGTAGCATCTCACGATAGTAAGTAGAGAAAAGGCGAGTTGCATATCATTTTGTCAAAACAACACATCTGTTCTGTGTGTTCGGAATTCCAATCCATGCTTACTTTAAATATGGCTGAAGACATGGTCTTCAAAGGGACCATTCTTGCTGAAGACATCGCTATCTCTTCTTCATCAGCTTGGACCAACGGAAAGCTCTTCCAAGACGCCAAAGTACATCCACAGAAATAACACAACAGATGAGTCAATGCTCTACGGCAAAACACAATGAGCTTCACTGTATTAGGGTTAGGGTTACATCGAATTGAGGTACCATACTTTATATGGCATACGAGTCCCAATAAAATCTGGTAATCCTGCAATATTTGTTTAACAAGCCTGAATCTGCTGATGGTCTGGCTGATAGACTACATCTTTTAAATTGTATTTGTATTTGTGGAGACACAGAATGGAGTTCTGCTTATATATATCAATCCATGTCTATTCTCAATTAGCAGATTAATGTGTTTGTGCCACTGTTTTCATACATGTGATTTCCATCACAGTGGTGTAGTTTATCACAAAACCATTTTTGATTGCAATCAGAAATCAGCAAGTGTAATTTAATATCGCTTATCCTGACACGCAATATTTTAAATCTTACAAGAGCCAAACAATTGACGGGTGTGCAGGAATAAAAACAGTCCGCCGACTTAAGAAGAGTCCCACTCGTTTGGTGACCCTATCTGTACGTACCGATCATTTAATAATGCGGCGCGCTGATGTTGACGATGGACGTATTGACAAAAAAAAAATGTAAAAAAGTGTTCGTCTGCGTGGTTTCAATTTCCTGTTCCTAAACGCCTCTTGACCTGCCACTCTGTAAGGTCGGGGGGGGGGGGGGTTTATGAAAGTGCAAAGAATTACCTTTTGCATTTGAACAACCTCTGTGCTCGCCATGGCGTTCTCCAATGTGTGCACAAATATTGTGAAAGAACAATCTATAAAAACAATACAATCGCACACAAAACAGACACATGTTATTGAAAATGTGTATCATCATTTGACTATTGATATACAATAGATGTTTATCCATCTCTCCTCTTATGCTGAACTAAACATCGATCATATCCAACAAACAATAAAATCCCCTTTCCATTATGCTACACAACTCTACCCAGTAGAGCTTGGTGAAGGGAGGGTAAGACAGACCCAGGACTGGTTCAGGTATCAATCTCCACTGATGCTGAACCGTGGCCGTGAATCGAATGCAGGTCGCCGGGTTCTTAGCGCAGTACACGAACCACTGCGCCACCACTCCACCTCCCAGCTGGATTACGGTATGCACAACAGCTGATGCAAACAAATGCTTTATTTGCATATTCTTGACCTTCAAAGACAAGATCACCAATGATTGAAAGGGTCACTGGAATATCATGGGACAATGTGGCTCTGATGAAGACCAAAATAAATAAATAAATAAATAGTTCGCCAGTTAAGGCCCACCGAGCTATGTAGCTCTTTTTCAGAGGCGACCTGGCTAGAAATGATAGTTCAACAAAGTGGCTTATCACGTGGACATTTATAGCAGTCAAAGACTCTAAAAGCACGTTTATTATAAATGTGGAGGGAAAAATTGGAGGATCTTGAGAAAAATCCACACGACCACGGGGGCAGAGAAACACGCAAACTCCAAATATACAACAGGCGTCAGGGTCGGGATCGAACCCGCGACCCTCATGTATACCGGGCGAGGTAGTTAACATCTCACCACCGCAACGCAACATGTTACCGCGCAGCTGCGTAATGCGATGTGCTGAACAGCCGGGCAAAGGGCTAAAGTCGAAGGTATAATGGTGACCCTCGGTGGAAGAGCACCTGCAGGGTTCTCCTCGAGGATGGAGTCGGCCACGCTGATCTTGAGCAGGAAGGCTCGTAGAGCTCTCTCAAGCCCGGTCAGCATCTCATCTAAGCTGCCAATGGGGCAAGAACAGTGCAGGCTTACCGAGTGAGCTCCAACCATGAGGTGTGCATCCTTTATGCGTGCGATCTGTTATGTGCACGCATGACCAAATCACGGTTATCTTCAACAGGTAAGCTCACAGGGTTTTCTCCAGCATGGACAATTTCCTATTTATGTGCAGGGACTTTCTTAAAGCAGGGTGCCTGATCATGATGAAAAAAAACTGAAGATAATTGGCAAACTCAAGGTCAGAAAGACTTGGGCACACCGGCCTAGGTAAATAATTTTCAACAAGAATACAGTATTTGTTGTTTCATAGTTGTTGACTTAGCAACGTTACAATCCATATACATTTCAAGCTGTTACAGCTCGTGTGCAGATTCTAGGTGGATTGATAGATCACAAGACTGCAAGGGATGGTGATGGCTTGGAAGTGGCCTTTACGTAGCAGTGGATTGATCATGGGCAACGACAATGATCGTGACGGTTACCTGTGCGACGCAACGTTGGGTGGCGATATCTCGAAGACAAACCGCTCCACCGGCTTATTCTCCTTGTTCACAATGGCCACCACAAACTGCTCCACGGCATTCTGTCGTTGCGGAAAGGCAATGGAACCCCACAATGTAAACGCACTTAGGGCAGGTAAGCAAGTGCATGTGTAGTACCATATAATGTCAATCTGTTACTGTGGTGTGTAACCACACACTCCAAAACACACCTGTTCAAACAGAGGCCGAATGCAGTGCAAAGTATCCTCGATGTATTTGTTCACCTCTGGGTGGCAAGACATCTGCAAACAAACAAAACAACTGTTGACACTTTATACATTCCGCACTGCAACTGTGATTCACACGGAAGCAACTCAAACCTCCTTTTGAGCCGTGCCGGCGCGCTGTGCCGAGCCTGCCCGGTGTGGGTCAGGAAGCAAAAGAATCCGAGGCCTTTAGTTAATGCACTGCTGGATGAGTGCCTACCCATGCCGTGTGGGTCACGCGGAGGTTAATTGGCCACACTTCACCGTGCTGGTCGGTGCGGATTAGTGAAGGTGGGCAGCGTGCCGATGGGACAACGGATGTTCTGCACTGCCCTCTGCTGTCGGTCACGAATGCGTATGGTGGTCCTTTCAAGTCGCGATTGGCCGTTCGACCTCCGAATTTCGTATGGCAGCGTGCATGACGCCTGCCCAGACAAAGGTTTTACCACCTCCTCCTCCTCACCACCTTCCATTCAAGCCATCAACTCTCCTTACTACAGGTAAAGTAAAGTTCAATGTTCATTTATTTAATTTATTCCATATATTTGTAGTGACAGAAAGGTCACTACTGTGTTGGCCCGTACGAGGGCTGGGGGCCCCAAGGGGGTGCCTGGGGGGTCACGTGCTGGAGGGATCCGGACCTTCCCAGAGGTGGGGGAAGTGAGGCGTGGCCTGGGAAGTGAGGCGTGGCCTGGGAAGTGAGGCGTGGCCTGGGCGGAGCCGGCCACGCCAGAGAGACGAGATATAAGCGTGGTGTGAAGGCAGAGCAGGGCTGTTCCTGAGAAGAATGAAGACACCTCGTGAAGATGCCAGAAGAGAAGACCTACAGTGAGCGGACTGCCAGCAGCCACCTGGCTGGGTCACGCTGGAGCGGATAAAATACAATTGTGTGTTAGCTAGTGTAGGTCGGTGGTCACCACCCTATGTGTAGAGTAAGAGTAACTGTTGAGTAAACGTTGTGTTAATTAATAAATGAGTGTTGCCTCCCAAGAAGTGTGTGCGCCTAAATTGAACCCATTACATTTGGTGTCAGAAGTTGTGGAAAAATAAATATTGCTAGGTGTTATCCTAGGGAAGTAAAATGGGCACACGAAAAACAAATACAAAACTCATCTGGACGTCTTCGTACGACGGGGATGGTGTGACGACCGTCCTTCGGACAGCCCCGGGGATGGCAGCCCCGGTGACAGAGAGAGAGAGAGATGGCGCTGCACGCGGAGCGGCGGGACTTGCATCGCACTGCTGCTTCGCCGCCATCGGGAACGGAGCGACGGAGCCGCGGCGAGAGGACACCATTGTCGCTGCGGTGGCTGGCGGGGGAGGCCCGGGCATGCGGGCCACGCGGTGGGCCCGCCATTTCGGCGGCTGGTCGGGGCGCGGTTCCCGCCAAAACGCCGTTCCCGCCATTTCGGCGGCTGGTCGGGGCGCTGTTCCCGCCAAAACGCCGTTCCCGCCATTTCGGCGGCTGGTCGGGGCGCTGTTCCCGCCAAAACACCGCTCCTGCTGCCGAAATGCCGCTCCCGCCGACATCAACGCCTGCAGAGGGGGAGTTCCAGCCTTCTGCTCGAGCGCGAGAGGTGGATGGGTTCGCAAGAGCAGGCCGTGTTCACCATCAAAGATTCTTCGGGCCGTTCCAGTGCTCCACCTTGCCGCCCTCCGCTATTCACAGTTTGCCAGGCGAGTTGTGACTTGACAAGCACCCGGCCCCAATAAAAAAAATAATAATAACTTCACCCATCTTGCGTGTGCCGGGTTGCGATCGCGGGTTTTTTTTTACTCGCTGGGTTGCGGAACGTGTTCGTCCGGTTGTGTGCGTGAGAAATTGACGCGGCGACCAGTGTTTGTTGTTAATTACGGCGTCGAGATCGGTATCTTCTGGGGGTAGTTAATGATTAATTCGTTGTTGGTGTCCCGAGCTCCGTTGATATCCTGTATGTTGCCGTGTTAATGACTCGTGTTGTTACATCGTTGTGTTGCGAAATCGCCATTGTTATTGTGTATACTGTATGGAGTTTCGCTCGTGATTGTCACTTGTAACTGTCAGAAACTTTGATCGTCATTGTTGCCAATGTACAGACCGTATGGAGCTTTGCTTGAAATTGTTAACAGTGTATGGACTGTTGGGTACTTGCTGGTGATTATTTACTATGTACGGATTGTCTGGAGTATTGATTGTGTGTGTTGCCATGTGGGGACTGGATGGAACATTGCGCCAAATGATTGTACGAACTTCGTATACTGCATATACTGTATTAATCAATTCGGCGATTCTTGGCGTTTGTGTATTTTTTTTTTTTTATTCGAATGCCCTGAGTCCCATGGTTAATGTTGAAGGGGATTTTGAAATTACAGGTTCGGTTTGTTTCAAACTCACTGGTTGGTTCCTGTCCGTTGTTGCACAGATGATGTCTTTTGTGCGGGAATGCTCCTTGTGTTCTACATGGATCGGGGGTGCGTTTCCGTTAATTGCCGTCAAATTGCGTTGCTCTCTCCACTCGGTTGGTACAGCTGCATTGCTGCAATGCGAGTCTCGGAGATGATGTGTACGGATACGGGATGTGAGGTGTATTGTTGTGACCATTGAATATTCGGGATCGTCACAAATTGTGCGTACCTGTTCGGCATTGGATCAGTTCTGTGGGGGATCATAATTCAAATGGTATGTGTTGTGATGGTGTTAAATTGCGATGGTGACATGCTGCCAGGGACTTGGAATTGTGGTGCTGGCTGTCACTTATCTTGGGGCGCAGATCCTGACCAGGATGGCCCAGTGAGTGTTGCGTGTCTAACATGAACGTTGTGGTCCCGTCATGCAATGGCTGACGGCTTGACCTGACAGCCCGGAGATTGAAACACTCCATGGTATGTCTAGCCTAGTGGGCTGTGCGCTCACAGGGCTCGGAGAGTGTGGTCCCGTCATGCAATGGCTGACGGCTTGACCTGACAGCCCGGAGATTGAAACACTCCGTGGTATGTCTAGCCTAGTGGGCTGTGCGCTCACAGGGCTCGGAGAGTGTGGTCCCGTCATGCAATGGCTGACGGCTTGACCTGACAGCCCGGAGATTGAAACACTCCGTGGCATGTCTAGCCTAGTGGGCTGTGCGCTCACATGGCTCGGAGAGTGTGGTCCCGTCATGCTGTGTCTGACGGCTTGACCTGACAGCCCGGAGATTGAAACACTCCGTGGTATGTCTAGCCTAGTGGGCTGTGTGCTCACATGGCTCAGGGAGTGTGGTCCCGTCATGCTGTGTCTGACGGCTTGACCTGACAGCCCGGAGATTGAAACACTCCGTGGTATGTCTAGCCTAGTGGGCTGTGTGCTCACATGGCTCGGAGTGTGTGGTCCCGTCATGCAATGGCTGACGGCTTGACCTGACAGCCCGGAGAGCGAGACACTCTGTGGCTTGTCTAGCCTTGTGGGCTGTGCGCTCACATGGCTCAGGGAGGGTGGTCCCGTCATGCAATGGCTGACGGCTTGACCTGACAGCCCAGAGATCGAGACACTCTGTGGCTTGTCTAGACTTGTGGGCTGTGCGCTCACATGGCTCAGGGAGGGTGGTCCCGTCATGCTATGGCTGACGGCTTGACCTGACGGCTCGGAGGTTGAGACCCTCTGAGGCGCGTTGAAACAGTGGGCTGGAGATTCGTAAGGTTCGGGTGGAGTTGGCCTGTTACGTTGAGACTGTTTCCCTCAGTTGTTAGGGTGCATGTTGTGCAGTGAGTGAACGATGGGTCGTCTCAGCTCGGTCGGTACAGCTATATGCTGCGATGCGAGTCTGGGAGAGAGACTGGGTCGTCTCAGCTCGGTCGGTACAGCTATATGCTGCGATGCGAGTCTTGGAGAGAGACTGGGTTAAAATCCCACCGATATGGCCGACGTGTGCTACTGGTTGCGACGCCGCGTCGGAAAGGCGGTGGGGTGGTAATATGGAAATTCCCCCCCCCCCCCGATATGGCCGACGCGTGCTACTGGTTGTGACGCCACGTCGGAAAGGCGGTGGGGTGGTAACATGGAAATTCCCCCCCCGATATGGCCGACGCGTGCTACTGGTTGTGACGCCACGTCGGAAAGGCGGGGGGGTGCTAACGGGTGACTGTCATTGCATGCGTGATTCTAACGGTGGGGGGGCTGTGATGGAGCGTAAGTGGGTTAGCCGGTTTTCATGTATATTTGTTGTTAATTCCCCGTTTTCTATGCGGTTCCCTTTTACCCTCGTCGATTCTGTATATATTACGTGATTGTATTTCTTATCGGTCGCCGGTCATTTATTGATGTTGCTGGTTCGGAGGCACACCTTTTCGATGTTCACAGTTGTGTTACAGCCGGGGACGGCTGTGTGTTTATACAGGGGGGGGTGATGTAGTGACAGAACGGTCACTACTGTGTTGGCCCGTACGAGGGCTGGGGGCCCCAAGGGGGTGCCTGGGGGGTCACGTGCTGGAGGGATCCGGACCTTCCCAGAGGTGGGGGAAGTGAGGCGTGGCCTGGGAAGTGAGGCGTGGCCTGGGAAGTGAGGCGTGGCCTGGGCGGAGCCGGCCACGCCAGAGAGACGAGATATAAGCGTGGTGTGAAGGCAGAGCAGGGCTGTTCCTGAGAAGAATGAAGACACCTCGTGAAGATGCCAGAAGAGAAGACCTACAGTGAGCGGACTGCCAGCAGCCACCTGGCTGGGTCACGCTGGAACGGATAAAATACAATTGTGTGTTAGCTAGTGTAGGTCGGTGGTCACCACCCTATGTGTAGAGTAAGAGTAACTGTTGAGTAAACGTTGTGTTAATTAATAAATGAGTGTTGCCTCCCAAGAAGTGTGTGCGCCTAAATTGAACCCATTACATATTTATTCATTTATTCCATTTATTTATTGTTTATTGTTTTTTTGTATGCTTTTATGCATGTAATTACTGTAAACTTCGTATAAAAATGCTTTATAATGAGAGATTTCTTTTGTCTGGAACTAATTAATGTCATTTACATTTATTCTTATGGGGAAAAATAATTAGGTGTTCGAACAAATTGGTGTTCGAATGGCTTTCTGGAACAAATTAAGTCCGATCTCCGGGGTACCACTGTACTATCCAGGTTCAACTCTGCTGCTTAGCTTCCAGCGATTTGACAGAGCGGGGTGCGTTTTTGGTAGATTGCTCACGCGTGATTAATTATAACTGTCATTTGATAACATTCTGGAACGTATTCACTGTTGTAAATTGAAATGTGTTCACCACATCCAGATTGAGATCATTTCAAAAAGATTTTTAAAAGATGCGTGCCGTTTACATTGATAATCTGTTCATGAGTAGAATGTTTGTTTGGAAGGAAGTTAACACTTTATACATTTTTTAACACTTTTATTAATCTAAATCAGTGATGTGTTTGTGCTGTCTTGTGTACTGTGTGTGGTTTGGCATGATGTCTGATGTTTCCATTCCCTAAAGGAGTTCCCAGCACATGGCCCGAAACGTCGGACATCATTCCGAACAAGGCACGGTACAGCCCTAATACCCATCAGAGGGCTAAGTAAGTTACAGTAATTATAAATCTGTTTGCTATTGTGTGTTTGAACCAGCTGACCAGGACTGGGTTCAGACATGGCTCCATCACTTTTCACCCAGGCAACCAGACAGCACAGACTGCACATATTGCTTGACTTATCGCGATTACAACAGTTGCGTACATTTATAAACACCCATTAAAAAACTATATACAATTTAGAACAATAATTTATATGACATTTTTTTACTTATCTATGATTCTCATACTCTGTGGGGACACTAAGCTAAGGGACGGTGAGGAAGATGAGGAAAACGAAAGTTTCAAGTGTATATTCTTGGTTCTTTCAGTAAAGTCACGTACCAAAAGAACCAAGAATATGAATCCCTGCAGTCACGAAAGCTTTACATCGAAATTTCAAGTGTATATATTTTTTGAGTTTAACCAGGTGTTGGAAACTCGTAGGGACCAAGATAGTCTAATTTGCAAAGAGTGACCCTGGCTCAGCGAAATGTCAGTGAAGGTGACGCGAATGTGAGTGAAGAGAAGGTGACACGGAGGTATTCCCATCAGGAAGCATTCTCATTCTCCCAGCTGCATTATCTTAATTGCAAATGTTGTGGGTTTACTCTCCAACATACCGGTGTGCTCAACTAGTAACTAATTGGCTCTTCTTGTTTACGTGACAACCCTTAATAATTGGCTGTGTCGGGTGGTGGCAGGTTTAACGACACACTTATATTTACGCGATCTAACCCACAAAAAAACCTCTATTATGCATCATCTCATTTTACAAAAGGGAACAATTACAGGAAGAGGGGGGAAACACAAAAATACATTCATTATATAAGCAAGTTTTTTTAAAAAAACATTGAGGTTACAATAAGGGATCGTTGGCAATGTACCTGCACGGGCACGTTGTACTTCCTGCGTTTCTCAAAGATGCCGAGCGGGTAAAGTTGCCGCACATAGAGGATCATGTGGACGGCAACTTCCAGGAACTCGCAGAGGATGTCTGCAGCCACTGGAAGGAGAAAAGACAAAGAGATCCCCCGTGTGTAGCCTTAGCAAGACTCTTGGGGGCCACGTTTTGCTCGCCAGTAGCACCAATGAAGGGCCCAGCACTGTGGCACACGAGGGGGTGGGTGACCAGCACCACTCATCACAAGCTCGCACTCGTTACACACAAAGTGCTTGCCACGAATGAACCACAATACCGTGCTGATCTCGTCAAGGAGCATAAACCATCATCACACGAACTCCGGCCATCCTCACAGCAGCTTCTGGCTCACCATCGAACAAAGATGGTCACCGCATCGCGCGCTTTCGGATGCGCTTCTGCGGCCGTCTGGAACGCTCTTCCTTCCGATATTAGGAAGCCACTGGAGCTACGCACTTTTAACTCATCATCTCGATTGACAAACTCATTTCTTTAGAACTGCTTTTTGTGTTTCATTTGTTGTCCTTCCCCCGCACCGCTGATTAGCGCAGTTGGCGACGTACAGTGCAAAAGAAATTCAACATACATACAAACAGTAACAATCTAAATAAACAAACTCAACATGTGTCAATAACACAACCATGGAACGTTGGATCAACGTTGGCCCAACGTAACATGTTTACTGGCGAGATCTAGGCCCCCAGAGGACGTCTTACGCGGAGATGGAGCGATGCAATGCGTTTGTGCGCAGGCTTCAGATGGATTGCAACTCCAAGAGGCCTTCATCTAGCAGTGAATTAATCCTGACTGATGGCTATTATGAATGCAATGCACTCCAGTGTGATGATGAAGATGCAACGACAGAACATGATGAGGGTGGACAATTTTTTTTATCAAGAGGAAAATTTTTACCATTTAGCCAGTGGGGTGCAACATTCCACATTCCTATGGCTGTGACCAGTTCGCATTAACCACACGTACTCGTGGTGAACATGCAAACAAAAACATGCTCCGATAATTCCTTGCAAAAGTTTTTCTATTTGGTGTTTAAACATCTTAACACCTGTTTTATTTCCAGAATGCGTAACACCAATTTTCTTATTTCATCATGAGACCTCTTTTGCCAGTAGCAAAATATAATAGTTTTTTAAAACCTATTATTATAAACCTATTATTATATTTTGCTACTGGCAAAGGAGGTCTCATGATGTAAATGATTACCCGAGCTCTCAATACGCTGATGGTGCGTTGTCTTTGAGTTGTGCGCCTTTTGGCGTCATCTGGTCGAACACCGTATGAGACTGGGCTCTAAGAAAAGCTGTCTCTGGTGTGGACCAATCAATTTCAAGGACAATGCATACATTATCAGAGTGCTGTTTTTTTTTGCATTTTGACCACAGGTATTGTGGTTAATGCAAACATGATCCCTTGTAAAAAGGTGTCAGTTTTGTTGCCAGATAGAAGGGTAAAAAACCAATTATCGTGTCAAGTTTTGTGCCAGATAAAAGGGTACACAAACTATTATTAAACCTATTCTTATTCTTTCATACTTTGATACTGGCAAAAAGGTCCCATTTTGCAGCTGCTCACGCCGAGCGATAAATGCCCTCATAGTGGAATTGTCCTTGTGCTGTCCGCCTTTTGGTGTTGTCCTCTGGTCTGACACTGGTGATACTATAGACCATGAAGAAGGCTGCTGCTCTCTGATCTGACACTGGTGATACTATAGGCCATGAAGATGGCTGCTGTCAGGTCTGACACTGGTGATACTATAGACCATGAAGAAGGCTGCTGCTCTCTGGTCTGACACTGGTGATACTATAGACCATGAAGAAGGCTGCTGCTCTCTGGTCTGACACTGGTGATACTATAGACCATGAAGAAGGCTGCTGCTCTCTGATCTGACACTGGTGATACTATAGGCCATGAAGATGGCTGCTGGTCTCTGATCTGACACTGGTAATACTATAGACCATGAAGAAGGCTGCTGCTCTCTGGTCTGACACTGGTGATACTATAGACCATGAAGAAGGCTGCTGCTCTCTGGTCTGACACTGGTGATACTAGAGACCATGAAGAAGGCTGTTGCTCTCTGGTCTGACACTGGTGATACTAGAGACCATGAAGAAGGCTGCTGCTCTCTGGTCTGACACTGGTGATACTATAGACCATGAAGAAGGCTGCTGCTCTCTGGTCTGACACTGGTGATACTATAGACCATGAAGAAGGCTGCTGCTCTCTGGTCTGACACTGGTGATATTATAGGCCATGAAGATGGCCGCTGGTCTCTGATCTGACACTGGTGATAGTATAGACCATGAAGAAGGCTGCTGCTCTCTGGTCTGACACTGGTGATAGTATAGACCATGAAGAAGGCTGCTGCTCTCTGGTCTGACACTGGTGATACTATAGACCATGAAGAAGGCTGCTGCTCTCTGGTCTGACACTGGTGATACTATAGACCATGAAGAAGGCTGCTGTGTCTGGTCTGACACTGGTGATACTATAGGCCATGAAGAAGGCTGCTGGTCTCTGATCTGACACTGGTGATACTATAGGCCATGAAGAAGGCTGCTGCTCTCTGGTCTGACACTGGTAATACTATAGACCATGAAGAAGGCTGCTGGTCTCTTGTCTGACACTGGTAATACTATAGACCATGAAGAAGGCTGCTGCTCTCTGGTCTGACACTGGTAATACTATAGGCCATGAAGAAGGCTGCTGCTCTCTGGTCTGACACTGGTAATACTATAGGCCATGAAGAAGGCTGCTGGTCTCTTGTCTAACACTGGTAATACTATAGACCATGAAGAAGGCTGCTGCTCTCTGGTCTGACACTGGTAATACTATAGACCATGAAGAAGGCTGCTGGTCTCTGGTCTGACACTGGTGATACTATAGGCTATGAAGAAGACTGCTGCTCTCTGGTCTGACACTGGTGATACTGTAATCCATGAAGAAGGCTGCTGGTCTCTGGTCTGACACTGGTGATACTATAGACCATGAAGAAGGCTGCTGGTCTCTGGTCTGACACTGGTGATACTATAGACCATGAAGAAGGCTGCTGGTCTCTGGTCTGACACTGGTGATACTATAGGCCATGAAGAAGGCTGCTGCTCTCTGGTCTGACACTGGTAATACTATAGGCCATGAAGAAGGCTGCTGGTCTCTTGTCTGACACTGGTAATACTATAGACCATGAAGAAGGCTGCTGGTCTCTGGTCTGACACTGGTGATACTATAGGCCATGAAGAAGGCTGCTGCTCTCTGGTCTGACACTGGTAATACTATAGGCCATGAAGAAGGCTGCTGGTCTCTTGTCTGACACTGGTAATACTATAGACCATGAAGAAGGCTGCTGGTCTCTGGTCTGACACTGGTGATACTATAGACCATGAAGAAGGCTGCTGCTCTCTGGTCTGACACTGGTGATACTATAGACCATGAAGAAGGCTGCTGGTCTCTGGTCTGACACTGGTGATACTATAGACCATGAAGAAGGCTGCTGGTCTCTGGTCTGACACTGGTGATACTATAGGCCATGAAGAAGGCTGCTGCTCTCTGGTCTGACACTGGTAATACTATAGGCCATGAAGAAGGCTGCTGGTCTCTTGTCTGACACTGGTAATACTATAGACCATGAAGAAGGCTGCTGGTCTCTGGTCTGACACTGGTGATACTATAGACCATGAAGAAGGCTGCTGCTCTCTGGTCTGACACTGGTGATACTATAGACCATGAAGAAGGCTGCTGGTCTCTGGTCTGACACTGGTGATACTATAGACCATGAAGAAGGCTGCTGGTCTCTGGTCTGACACTGGTGATACTATAGACCATGAAGAAGGCTGCTGGTCTCTGGTCTGACACTGGTGATACTATAGACCATGAAGAAGGCTGCTGGTCTCTGGTCTGACACTGGTGATACTATAGGCCATGAAGGTTGCCGTCTCTGGTGTAGGCCAATCAGTTTCAGACAATGCGTGTCTATATATAATTGTCAGAGCAATGTTTGTTTGCATGTTCACCACAAGTACTTTGTGGTTTATGCGGCAACTCGATTCCTTGCAACATGTTTCTATTTGGTGTTTGTACGTCTTAACGCCTCCTGTTTTATCGCTAGAAAGGCTAAAACCTATTCGTATCGTTTCATACAGGAACTACATTTGTTTTTATATCCGCCGCGAGAGGCGATGGTGGTGGTGGTGGTTGGTGAACGTGATGATGGATTTCGGTTCTTACCCTGCGTGTGATTCCCGTCTTGGCGGGTGCTCATGTCTGAGATTGATGATGAAGAGGTCGGCTTGAGCAGCAGCAGCAGCTGCACTCTGCTGAGTCCAGTACTGCACGGTCACCTGCTTAGAGGGGAATCAAACGCACTACGATGAAGTGGTATTAAAAATGCAGAGCGGCATACGGCCCGGACTGGTGAAGTATGGTCAAACAATCGCCCCCAAGACGGCATGAAGGGCCCACTCTCCAGCAATGGATTGTCAACAAGTGCGCGCATGGCGTGTGTTGTTAACCCGGACGTAGCTGGCGTTGTCCCGGGAGGGGTGGGGGCAGAGCGCCCACGTGGCTGAACACGTGGAGTGTTCATGGAGCCTGGCAGCCACGAGAGGGCACGATAACCACGTTTCAAACGCCTTTGGCACAATACCACCACGCCTCATCGCCAAATAGAAGGGAAAAAAACACATTAGTCAACAACACTGTGTTGTAGCCTTAAATAATAAGTAATATTTAAAACACTTTTTTAAAAACACGCTTTTATTAAATGGACCCTACGACTCTAGGAAGTGGCCCCGAAGCTTGCCATAACGTAAGGGGCCGTGGTGATTTACAGGCAACGTGAGTTGAGCGTGGACAATTAGACCCAAGCCGAAACATAACATATAAAAAAGATTGTTAAACAATTTTTTTATGATAGAATATAGTATTGTCATCAGTATACCAAGTTTGCAGTCGATACCACATTGGAAAGTGGGTTAAAACAGAGTTACAAGATTTGAGGATACGACAATAACAACAGAGTGAGTTAATAAAACGCGTGTAATAAAATAAATAAAAACAAGCAACTAACAGGCGACGTTCCGGGCACCAGCCGTTCATCGCCAGCACACAGGTAGCCCAGTAATACAACAACAAACACAGGTAGCCCAGTAATACAACAACAAACACAGGTAGCCCAGTAATACAACAACAAACACAGGTAGCCCAGTAATACAACAACAAACACAGGTAGCCCAGTAATACAACAACAACAAACACAGGGAGCCCAGTAATACAACAACAACAAACACAGGTAGCCCAGTAATACAACAACAACAAACACAGGTAGCCCAGTAATACAACAACAACAAACACAGGTAGCCCAGTAATACAACAACAACAAACACAGGTAGCCCAGTAATACAACAACAACAAACACAGGGAGCCCAGTAAAACAACAACAACAACAAACACAGGTAGCCCAGTAATACAACAACAACAAACACAGGTAGCCCAGTAATACAGCAACAACAAACACAGGTAGCCCAGTAATACAACAACAACAAACACAGGTAGCCCAGTAATACAACAACAACAACAAATACAGGTAGCCCAGTAATACAACAACAACAAACACAGGTAGCCCAGTAATACAACAACAACAAACACAGGTAGCCCAGTAATACAACAAAAACAAACACAGGTAGCCCAGTAATACAACAACAACAACACACGTGAGGCCAACATTGGCCCAAAGGCTACATCGACATGCGGGTGGGGCCATTCCCACCTTGACCCCCCCCCTTCGCCTTGCAACTTGACCCGAGAAAAACGAACGCACCACGTGCTCGGACACTTGCCGAGGTCGTCTCGACGCGCAAGTGCCGCGGCTGCTGCTGCTGCTGCCAGCCCCGTCAGAGCCGCACATGCCGTGCCCGTTTGTACGTTCGCGACGACCACTTGGGGGCATTATTGATTCCTGTGGCATTCCGCAGGAAACGATTGCCAGTTCCTGATTATTATTTTTAACCGTAATCGATCATTACGAACGGGTTACCGGTTTAGCGGTTGTCGTTTAACAAACCCATAGGTTTTTACTTTGAGATTCCCACGTCCTGTTGGAAGAAAAAAAAATCCATCGCATGCCAAACGAATTTTTTTAAATTACTCACACAGCTGGGATTTAACGAAAGTAAAAACTAAATTGAATCTGATGGGGTTTTTTTTAGTCAGTCATTTGGTGAATGGGCTGAGACCATGAACTTATTACCCATTACTTAAAAGCCCAGTTGACTCATGTGTGTCTGCCCAGATTTATAAACCTCGCTTCTCAGCGGTTCATTCTCTGACCGCTTTGCCACTTGACCACTTCCAGTTTTACTCAGTCTTCACACCAAGGCGCACATCTCCCTCGGACTCATGATTTCCAAATGATTTACACCACGAACGACAATGATGCCAAGCATCCTAATAACGGCACCCTCATGGAAAAGAGAATTCTCACTCAGTGACGCTCTCCTGATAAAAGTAAATTACTGGAGAGAGCTTTTTTATCCGTGACCCTATTACCGGCAGTTCCTCTTATCCGTGGAAGACGTTGGCTCCACGGCCCTATTCCGAGTATTTACAACAACAAAAATTGTGCAGGTAACTGGAGTAAATTCACGGATGACCCTGTGGATAATAGCATCCGGGATATCAGTCTCCCACATTATGATAGATAAGAGGAGCTGTCGCTATTGCATTATTACACGCAGTACTGCAAATGTTACACACAGAAAAGCCTAAATATGGGTCTGAGGCATACTGCAGAACCCAATGCCCCATTCAGAATCACCCTTAAATAAACCCCCACGTTCCTGCGTAAACCTTTAGCCTCCCAGTTACAAACTCACTGGACCTACCGTAGAAAAAATTTGACCCCTGGACAAGTCAGGACAATTCTCCCCAGTACTCTAACGGAGGACAGGGCCTCGCCATTTTCCTCAACAGTTTTTAGTTCTTAAGACACTTTTGTCATCAGATGAGGCAATACGAAAGAAAAGCCAACAACACGTACCAACGTCACGTTTAACTTAGAACACGGAATTGCTCAGTTTTGTTCCCAGACACTTTGTCATCAAATGAGGAAATACAAAAAAACCCCAACAAACACGTACAATGTCAAGTTTGGTGAGTTTGCCAAAATCGGGTATTGTGGCGTTCCAATGCCTCGCCCACGGACTTAGACCCGTTTCCAGAAAACGCAGGCACTGTACAGAAGTTTAAGCTGTAAAAAGTGGCCTGTCGTCATTTGTCAAGCTCAAATGTGATGTTAGTTATATAAGCTTTCGAGGACCTCAGTTCCCGAGGAAAAGGGGAGTCATGGGTAATAGGGTCATGGATAAGAGGAGTTCTTTATGAGACTCTGGTTACTTTCAATATGTTGTCAAAAATTTGCTGACCACTTGTAACAGTACAGTATATGCAAACCATTGTGCCACTTCCAGAGCACCACCAATCGAATCAATCCCCTTCGAGTGCTAAAAATGAAAAATTGCACACGGTAGTATGTGCGTGTAGTTTATCTGAAGGCACGAATGCTCTGTCCATTGATTGATGGCTCTTATAGCCGCTATTTTAAGGGTCGTCTTGTACCTTCGGGTGGTTAATGGACTGTTTATTTTTATCTGCTCTCATTCTAGGCCCCAAATTCTGCATTGGATGAAATCGGATCCCATCTCTCAAAGCACATGTCAAAGTCAAAGTATTTATTGCTCAAATGAGCATTGGAGTGATGCTCATCCCTCGTTTACAGCAATGGAAATATTCAGTACGACATCGCAGCACGTTCTGTATCCCCTGCAGCACACGCTGTTTAGGGGCCATCCATTTAGTACGTACGCATGGAGGAGGGAGGGGGGTTAACCCAAATGCGTACGCTTGCGTATGGGGGGTCTACTGATAATGTACGTACGCATAGGGAACGGGAGGGGGATGAAGCCTCGATAATAATTTGTCTACATTGGCCTTCAAATGAGCCACAGTTCAGTTTCTTTAGCTGTGAGACAACAAGTCCTGCTGGGAGAAGTGGGACTGTGGGAGAGGTGTCACGTTTGTGCCCCTGACTGCAGCTATCACGCAGCTCAGCAAAATAAGTGGCCAAGGTACGCAACGTAATCCTTTAATGCAGCCGGCGGTGGACTGTCTGTTTGCTTAAATACGTTAATATGATTAATCCTTGCTCGTTTCTGCGTGGATTAAATATCGGCCGTTCTATAGGATTCGGGGGGGGGGGGGGGGTTAGGCGAACGTACGCAGGTGGGGGGTGGGGGGTGTAAAAAGTGCGCGTGCGTACAGGGAGGGGGGGAGGGGTCAAGTTTTGACAGATTTTTGCGTGCCCACTAAATTGATGGCCCCAGACCCCCTTAGGGGATACAGCATGTCAGCCATGCCTGCCTGACAAGGTTTGTCTGTATGAACTTCTTTCGCGCTGTACGTAGCCAACCGTGCTAATCGGCGGTTTAACTGTGGGAGGGTGATTACACGCAGATATGAATTGCCTAATCCGGTACATTTTCACGTAATTTTACATATACAGTACAGTAATGCAGTCCAAGGTGTACAAATCGGAATATGGCAACATATAAGGAGTAAATGCCATATAAATTGGACCGATGCCTACAATGCTAAATGCCAGGTTGCCCGGTAGTTTTGTGGTGACCACGTGAGCCACATGTCTGGGGAAGAGCGGTGGTTATTGTGGTTAGCTGCAGTGCTCGCTACGAACCCGGTGACCCGAGTCTTCCGATTCCTTCATTTTTTTTTCTGAATCTCTTGTGCGTCGCAAAATAAATCAAATTGCTCGTAGTAGATATTAAAATAGTACAACGTTGGGTTACAATATACTGGGACTTGACCATTTGACTTTCGTGACAGCCGGAGGGGAAGTGTCCTCATAGGGTCTGGTGGGGCTGGAGGGGGCCAGACCCCCCCCACCCACCCCTCTTAAGGCTTAAGCTCCCCTTCTGAATTCCTAGTTGTCAGGTCAAAAAAAATGTCGTTGCAACAATTGAGTGATGGCCTTCGGGCAGCCTTTCCTCATACCACCACCACCGCAATAGTTTTCCAGAGATTTTGTGCGGACAGCATCGGAGATAAAATAACGTTGGACTTCTTTCGCACCGTACGTAGCCCGGCCGTGCTCATCGGTTGGCTACGTACGGTGGGCCCCCCACCCCTTCCTACCTCCTCATCATTCATCTCCGGACGTCCCCGCACGGCAACACATATATACTTGAGATTAAACGCAGCAGCAGCAGCCAGTTGCGTGCAAAGATTTGCTGCGTTTGGGCGGAGTGGTTTGGCCCAGTGGCGGGGTTATTCGCGTTCATTGTTTTGGAGGTTACCATCGGACAAAGCTGCGAGCGGAGCACTGTACATTGTGTGACGAAGCCTTAAGGAGGAAGGATTTAGGCACGTGCCTGATTACACTGTGACCTTAACCATCTGGGTTATTAATCTTGATTTGAAGCTTTCGTGACTGCGATAATCCATACTCTTTGGTTCTTTCGGTAAAGTCACGTAGGTGGAAAATAAAATAAATCACGACGTTTCGGGCGCAACACAAGCGTCCATCACCATCGGGGTTATTATCTCTCTTCAACAGAGGCAACGCACGCATCTCGTGGATTGGTGCCCGGTGTTTTGTGGCTGTGATGCGTCGTTGGCGAGCTGCAGGTTTACAGCGCAGCGTGCAATTTCTGTCAATGTGCGTGCCCTCTTCTTTGTCAAATTGGCCGCAACCTCCGTCGGCCAGTAAAGTTGAAAGTCGTGGCAGCAAGTTGCCCAATGTTGGCACGAAAACAGTCTGAAGGTGCAAGTCATGGTGCAAGTCATGAGATCACAAGCACGGTGTTTTGTAAGACTTCCAGTGTCAGTCATTTATTGAGGGAAATCAAATCTTTGATATCAATGAGGAAAGAGTATTTTAGTGTAAAATGTTAATACAGGACTTATACATGTACAGACCTTTGTTCATTATTATATACTGTCATTCATGGATGGGGGGGGGGGGTGAACATACTTCACATTGGTGAAGTATGGTGAGTCAAAGTCTGTTCACTTACCGACCACTCGCCCCTGATGTCAGCCGTGGCCAGGAACTGAATGAGAACTCAGGTTCCCGGGGTCTTAGCGCAGTGTTCTTGCTGACCACTGTGACAGCACTCCGGCCCTGAGGATATGCAGGTAGTCATCTACTTGCGATGGAGATGCGTTACGACGATCCCATCGTAAGTCAAAAAATATCGTAAGTCGGACCATCGTAACTCGGGGACTGCCTGTATTTTTATCGGCCGCAAAAAAACACACGTCCTGTAAGGCTGCAACTCTCTTGATTTCAGTTTACCACTCACGAGGAGACATTTATATCTCGGTATAGTTTGGCACAGCTGCCATTCCATGACCTTTCAGCCGGCACGTGTCCAAACTTGTTGCATCCAATAAATGGCAGTATGTGATATCATATCTGCCGTGCGTGTACCGTATCCATTTTCACACCACAGGGTTTGAATTATGTCCACAACACACACGAAGAAAGTTGCCCAATTTGTAATCCAGCGGTCGCAGGGTCTGATCTTCCCATCGTGGCAGTTCAAATGTCGACCAAGGTTCCTGAAATGGGGGGGGGGGGGGTACACACAGTGATGAACAGTGCAAAACCGACGTTCCACGGGTTACTTTGGCACGCTACGTTCATGCCGTCTTATCTTATCCTCACGCTTCTGCGGTGATGTGGCATGGTAATGTGCAACAACAACAACAACAACCAACATGTGTGGATAGAGTTTAGGGTCACCGAATGTTATTTTGGACAGTACTAGGATTATTATGGATCGTTGTTCCTTGCACTCTAGTGGTAGTGCCTTACACCAATAATCTTTACGCCAAGCCCAGCCTAGCAGCATTCCGGAAAATGATCGAGTGAGAAATTAATCCCTGCGTGCACTGCGTGTGTTGGGATAAAGTGTGGGCACTTCCACCTTTTCCAAGACGTCTGGCTGGGTTGGGAGAATACCGTCGTCGAAAATACACTCTTGAGAGTTTATCCTGAGCTCTCCGCCAGCGGAGTCCCTGCTGCTATCAGCAGCGGTGCGAGCGAGCAATTGCAAGGCTTGCGCCTCTAACTCACATATTTATATTATGCACCTCGGGCAGTGCCGGATTATCCTAGTAGCACAAGTAGCTACATATGCTACGGGCCCCGCACTTTCAAGGGCCCCGCACTTTCAAGGGCCCCGCGCTAAATGCTTTCAAGCTATCAATTCCGGTTCATTGATTCTGCACTTGCTCTATTATTATAGTACTATACTGCCTTAAACTTTTATGAACGACTGAGTGTTTAAGGTTAGCGATTTGTCGTATTATCTGGCTGTATAGCAAAACGAAAAAATACAATTACTTTACTGTGCAAGTTAGAAATTTGTGTTTTAATATGTATGTGTTTTTTTTTATTTAGGGCCCCTTACAAACATATGCTACAGGCCCCGCATTAGCTTAATCCGGCACTGACCTGGGGCTCTTCGGTGTTTACCGATTCAAAACCTTTGTTGTTGCGCAACAACACTCCTTGCAATTTGGAGCATTCCCCAGAATTAAACATACGAATATATCCCCTCCAAAAATAAAACCAACGTGGCAAGCCGGGAGATGCCATATTATAACAACCACTCGGGGTAAACCAGACCTCACCCTCAACAACCCCCCAGTGACCGGAGCCCAAGGGTTTAACACCCTCTTAAAAAAATCTTTAAAAGTATTTTAACAGCATACAAAGCACATGCCATATAGGGCAACCTTTCACCTAGTTTCATGGGAGCATTTATTTCATTATTTACGACCCACACATGCCGTTTGCTTTCATGCTCTTGCGTGGATCCACGCTGCAAGCTGACCTCATACTCCTCCGCGTCACCGCTTTTGTGACAAACAACAACCGCCATTCGCCACTAAGTGGCGGTGACGTCACCACGACGCTTGTGCCAGGCTATGTGCACCTTGAGGCGTACTCACAAACACACGGGGAGTGAACATCGGCATAGGACACGCATGCCGACTCCCGGCGAGAAGATGGGTATACATTACTCCCATCCTCCAGTAATCCACCTACTCCAGGCTCGTGCTCGGGTTGCCACCTCTGAGATACAAGACAACCGGAGACGAAGAACTGTACCGACAATACGAGGATGGGGGGGGGGGGTACACCACGCGTACAGTGTGTGCCTTGTATTTATTTGGTGCGTTGGTGTGCAACTTGACAAAAATAGAGATGTAGTGAGCCCAAAGACGAGGGAAAGCCGGTACTTGAGGCAATAGTTTATTTAACAAATAAACTCAACGCAAGGTCCCTACTATGAAGGGCAACGGCCCCTTATACCCGCTACCTGGGGAGGTATGGCCTCCGGGCTATCGTGCCTCCTCACACTGGGGCCCACTCTACACTCAGCCCTCCGGCTAGGGGGGCCCTAGGGGAGGCTATCCTGACCCGACCCAGCCAAGGTCCTCGGGTCCTGGCCACTGGCCCACTCAGTCCCGGCCCTTACAAGGATGTCTGGTCTGGGGGTACCCAGTGTCCGACCACTATCCCATCTCAGTCCCGGCCCTTCGAAGGACAGCAGGTCTGGGAGTCCCAGGGTCCTATTCTAAGCCCATTCTTCTGTCTTCGGCTTGAGGACGACTGCTGAAACCGTTCAGGGGTCAGGCTTTTATACACCTCCTAGGGTCTCTCCGCCCCTGACCACACCTCCCTTCCAGAGTGTTCCAGGGGATCCTAGAATATTCCCCCAGCCCCCCTCTTGGGGTCTGGGGGACATCGGTGGCCCACATATCACCCCCTACTGACGTATGT